GTCTGTGTGTGCAGCCCAAAAAGGACTCCAAGAGCTCAGGGTTAGACAGAAGGGCTCCCCAGTACCAGCACATGCTCTCTGGCAGGAAAACAGGCTCATTTCAAACAGGATTCAACCACTGAAAGCGTTTCAGTTTCATTTCAGCTCACGTTCCCAGTTAAAAGAGCTGAATTTCCTGCACAGGCAAGGAACCAGGCACTACCCTGGTGTACAGAGCAGCACAGGGCATTACTGCTGCCAGAGCTTTTCAAATCAATCACAACATCTAAAGCTCTGGCTGCAAAGGTGAAGCACCTCACACCAGGGGAGTTCCCTTCCCCACAGAAATTCATCATCTCCGACGGAAAGTATGCCCAATTTCCTTGAATTTGGTTCTGGGCCATGAGGTGCAGATGCAGCTGTACTTGTTGCAAAGGCAGAGAGCAAGACAGCAACCAAATAACACACACTCGCAAGTAGGCCTGAACAGGCATTTACTATTTATAAGCTAATCATCTGATCCCTCCTAAGGGAAATCCTATCCTTTTGGGCTGTTGAGAGCGCATGTAACTGCACAGTCTCCGCAGGATGGCTAGGGAGGAAAGAAGGGAGGCAATTATATCTGCAAGGAGCACACTCAAAAGTGCCAGGACAAAATTGCTCCCTGCTCTGTAACAGCACCAGGCATCCTCCTGGAGAGCAAGTCAGGGATTACAAACAGGGATTAACCTGCTACGCGAATTTGCTGAGAGCAAAGTAATTTGTAAATAGCAATCTTCTCCATTCATCGTTATCTAAAAAAAGATTCTGATCTAGTTCTGCAAATGTTGACGTTTTCCTGCAAGCAGCGATAGAGGAGAGTCTCACCATAAAAGCCCGCATCAAAATCCAGAAACACACCGACAAGCAGAAAACTGGCTGGCTGGAGCTACCTTGGAGGGTGGACAAGCAAGGATGGAAGAGAAAGGTATGAACTTTCATAATAGCTTGCTAGTTATTAATTCCTGGGGGAACATTCCTGTCCTAGGAAGTTAAGTGTGATGTGTAAGTACGCAGCACTGATTTTTTTTTCTCCTGTTCACCTTTCTCCCTCATAAAAATAATCCGGGTTAGATTATACTGCTTCATTTTCTTGTAAAACAATGCTCAGTCATTTTGAACACAACTGCAAACACTCTTTCAATGCGACCGCACACACACACCTGAGAAACAATCTCACTTTCTCTCTAGCCTCTTGATTTTTTTTTCACTTACCAGTTTATTACTGAGAACAACTCTCTCCCTCAGATGACAGCAGCCTCTAAAGATGAGCTGAGGATACAGAATAGGAGTGGAAATTGCTCCGTTTCAAACACCACAGATTAAAGTAATGTCTCTTGGAGGAGACTGCCCAGCTCCAGGAGCAATCCTCACAAATGGGGAGGACAAGAGCCATCCAGGTCTGGTGCCTGCCTTCAGGTGAGCAAAGGTCAGCGAGATGCAGGCCACCAGGAGGGGGAATCACTGCACACATCAGCCTCTTTACTCCCACCAGAGCCGGGACAAGGGTGACTTTGAAAAGCCCCGTATGAACAAAAACCAAAAGCAAGCCAGCGTATATTTTGGCGGATCGAGATAACAATAAAAGCTGGCACAGCACCATTCTGCAAAGCCTCCGTATCATGGTAAGATTTAGCCCTAAAGCTTCCCTTGATTTTGGTTGTTTTGTTTTTTTTTCTTTTAGCTTGCTACAGACAAATCTGACAGCTCAGTGACGCTGTCAGCAAGGCACAAGGGCTGGAAGGACATTGCCACAGAACTAACAGCAATGATACATCTGAGGAAATTTCCTCAGTTCAGGCTCTTTCAGAAAAATCAAATAACTGTCACTGCCAGCGTAAACAGATTCTTGTAAACGCAGCAAAGGAAAGGGGAAACCAGAGGTTCCTAGAAATTAGTAACTATAAGTAATACTTTTAAATTCATTTCCCAATCTTCATCTCATTAGATATTCATCTTCCAGCAAACACTCTGAAAGACATTATGGCCACCTTACAAACTCCCAAGCAGAGCAGACCACAGAACTTCCCAGGCTGTTAGCCAAGCTGCCATACTTGCTGTTGCTTTTATAAAAAAAAGAAAAGTATTGAGGCTTGATGTAAAAGTTGCCAGCAAATATGAAGTCATAACTTGACTTTGGGAAGTTTGTTCTCATGCTTCAATCTCTATCACTTAAAACTATACACTTTGATTTCCACGCACACACTCATCACCAGCCACACCGAATTCCCACAGTCCAACTTCTGTCCTCCACAAGTACATGCAGACTGACCAAGTCTCTCTCAACTTCTTGTTGGATGCAGCAGATGGAGTTCTCACCACCACATGGCAGCTTTTTTCACCTTTAATTCCACCCTCATACATCATCTCTGAACTCTGCCCAGCTTTCGCACCATGCACAGGCACCAAACTTGGGTGCAGCAGCGCAGAAGCATTTGCACCAGTGAGAGCTGAGCTAACACATCTCCTCCTCCTCCAGAGCCACAGTGAGGTATCAAAGACCACCTCTGCCTGCCTGCCTCCAGCACCACTCCATGTTCAACATAGTGATGAACCCAGGCAAAAACTACTGCTCCCTAGGACAGGCCTTGCTCCTTCCTCACTTGCTTCTCTGTTGGTGTAACAGACTATTCCTGAGCAGTTTGCTTTCTCTGGTAATAGATGCGTGGCCTCACCAGAGGTACAGTGCCAAACTAATCAGACCAATGGATCGGATCCTCATCTCTTATCTTCTGCTCAGCACTCTGAGTTGCTTGTGTGCTTCACCAGCTTTTAGCTGCAAACTTTCCTCAGGTCACTGACAAAATCAGCAGTAGGATCCTTAAGAGACCATTAACATAACGTCCCAAACAAAGTTCTGAGAGCCCCCAATTTAACATGGGTTATTTTGAGCTCACCGCCTTCAGTTAATTCAGCAGGAAAACCCGAAGGCATCACATCAAATGCTTTAGGGAAACCTACGTTTACAAGACATAGTTGTTTGAGTTTTTTTTCAGTAAGCATCAAACCTACAACAACACTGTCTCCACACCAAACTTCAGCCACCAGCAGTTTCCAGCCAGCACAGAAAGCTTTGCCGGCTTCTACCCAATACGGAGGGGAGGCACCTTCTCGAAAAAACTGCGAGGTGTGTGTGAGCACCGGGCTGACCCCACCCGGTGGGAGAAGTCTCTGGCAAAATAACCAGCTCCGTGCCGTTACCACGGTCGGTGTGGCACACGGATCTCCCGCCACCCGCCAGCCCCTTCCAGCCGGGATCTCCTCGGTCCGTGGGAGGCGGGCAGCGAAGGCGCTGCCCTCCCGGGGCCGGGGGAGGCGAGCCGGGCCCCCGGCCTCCACTCCGCAGGCGAGGTCTCCCGCCGGCGGGCACGGCCCCACGCGGGGCTGGGGAAGGGCTGCTGCTCCCGGTACGGCGGGGCAGAGGCCCAGCAGAGCCGCCGGACCGAGCGGCAGGGCCGGCAGCGGGCAGGCTGCCTCCGCCCCGGACCTGACCCGGCGGAAGCCCCGCGTCTCCTTCCTTCCTCTTAACGTGAGCCAGCCTTCACCTCCTCCCCCCCGTCCCGGCGGTACCTCGGGGCCGCCCCCCGCGGTCACCGGCCATCCCGCGTCGCGGTGGGCAGCAGCGCAGGCCGGCCC